ATTGGCCATCGGTTGTTGCTGGACGACCCATTCACGGATAAGGAAAATTAGAATAAAGGATATGACAACAAGCAACGTAATTAACTGGCCCTCCAATGTGTCGATGAGAATATTGTTAATAGTAGGGGAAGGTGTGATATTATTCAAGAATTTGACATCAGACAGCCACGAGGGGTGCCGCTGCTTATAGAACCCTACCGTTATATTTGGAGTCCTTCCGGTTGTTGAACTGGAACTTGAAGACATGGCCGGAAAGAAAAGGGCAGAAAATGCCTTCTTTACAATGGTAAGCAGTAGCGGTTCGCCTGATGAGAAGCTAAACATTGACGATGCCGGTGACGGCATGGACTGCGTATCGGCCGTGTTCGTTTCAAATGTAGAGGCCAGGGCTGAGCTTGTCGCAACACCTGCACTATGAAGCGAAGCGGTGCTGTTTGCAATTGCTTCAGAAAGGCGTTCCCGGGCCGGTCCTTGCATAGCGTTATCCCCACCAGACCAGCGGCCATCTGCAAGCCAGAACAGAGCTCTCCAGATGGCTCTCATGGACCAGGGTAACCATCCAAGCCAGACGAATGCAACAAGAACGAATCGCAGCCATGTCACCACGGTGCGAAAGCTATGGACCAGCAATTGCTTCAGGAATAATGGCGTTGGCAAATCCCGAGGCATATTTGGGTCGTATAGCTTTGTAAAGCGGAACGGTGTTTTGCACAGCTCACAATGTTTCTTCTGTGAGTGTGATAACCACTCCACCAAACATGCCTGGTGGACAAATTTGATACTACCACTGCATTTGCAAGGATAGAACAGTTGTTCATCCTCCGTACCTTCGCCCCGACATATTCGACAAGTATCAGGTTCTTCCAAGTCCCTTTCCTTTCCTCTGTAATTTGTAGCATACGCTGGGTCATTCATCACGTCTGGAAAAGATGGTGCTGCGCTTCCTGCATAGTCGGAGCGTTGATCCGTCGGGGGTTCCATGATTTCGACAAGTTTTGAGTCGACGATCCGATCGTCATTAATAGCGAGAGCAAGATACCATGTCTATAGTTTTCCGGAGTCGCAAAGTGGCTAGGAGTGAGATATGAGGCCGGCAAGCTAGGGTACCAATGTCAAGCCCCCTTACCCTCGAGAACAAAGAATCCTTGAGAAATGATGACCAGCATCGATGTCAGTTTACCATATGAGATGATGACTCAGCACCGACGACGCCACATATGGCATCACGTGGAGATACAGTATGTTACAGCCAGGGACAAAGCTGATAACTACCGGTGAGGGACCCTAATGTAACACTTTGTAAGACGGCAGATACGCTGAACTAAACGATGACCTCACTTCAGCCTTCATGCATTTATCCTGAAGTCCCTCTTAGTTTGATGTTATTTTAATTGAGCTTTCTTCAAGCTATTTCTACATATTGAGACAAACCAGCTCTTTATCGACTGTATTTATCGACTTCTTTGAAGTGCATCATATTTCAACCAAAAGAAAAAAAAAAAAAACACGCGCCAAGACCTGCGCCTTCGTCGCGTACGAGTCTTGTTGAAACCTAGCGAAGGGCTAGGCCATTGAGTCTATCCTCCGGGCTCAATTTCCGCTGAAGCCCAGACGGTGTGGCTCCGTAATGCAATTGCGATGATATAGGGAGCACCGACAAGTTGTTCGAGTCCTGTATCTATTTGAATTATACGCGCGACGACATAAGCGCTAGCATCCTATCGACTCAAAACAGAGGACTCCAATTATTGAGGCGAGGTCACCAGCGATGACCACCTCAGATAGCGGTCATGCCTCAGAAGGCATTGTTAAGGATGTGGGAAATAGAGAGGCCCAACCGAAATCTAGAACCACAAATATCTTCCGATGGACGCTCGGATTGGTGGTGCGGTATGCTTGTATTCATGTGTAGGTATAGTTTTTACAACCACGATCTGACAAACAACCTACCAATATAGGCTTTGTATTTGGTATATATTGCTCGCCCCATTTTTCCGATGCCCGGCTCAATTTTCGGATTTGAACGAGTCCTCTCCGCGAGTCTGCAAGCCGTATCTCGTCGCCCGCTCCTATGTTGAGCCTCACGTTCTTCCATACTACAATACCTACGGCGCGCCTTACTTTGAGAAAGCCCGTCCGTATGTGGTGGTACTCAACGAGAAGGTCTATACGCCTGCCGCAAATGTCGCCAAGCTTAGCTACGATAAATACGGCGCACCTGCTTTGGACCAGGCTCATGCTTACGGATCCAAGCAGTGGGAAAAGCAAGTTGCCCCTCTTCTACAATCCGCAAAGGATGGTGCGAGCGAGCTGTATAATGCTGAGGTAGCACCTCAAGTCCGAAGAGTCACGGCAGTGGTGTCGCCTTACTATCAGAAGGCAAACTCCGCCTTTGAGTCAACATGTGTTGGATATATTCAACCATTCCTTGCTCGGACAAGACCTTTTATTGGAAAGACATATACCTCTGGTCAAAGTGTTCTAACAACCACGGTCATGCCCTATGCCCAAACGTCATGGTCATCCATTATCTATTTTGTGAACAGCTGGCTCTGGCCACAAATTACCGGTCTTTACTCAGAGAATGTTGAACCTCAATTAGTTAAAATCGGGCAGAGACTAGCCAGCTATCGTGAGGGAAAGCAGCTGCGAAAGGTTGTGGATGAGGTTGACAAGTGAGTTTCAGATCCTAAGGAATACCCTCAGTTGGCTGACCTCGACTGCCACAAGCTCTCCGGAACAACAGGTTAATGTTGTTCCCACGTCACAAGAAGCCAGCAAAACCGAATCCTCCTCCACAACTTCTACAACCGTGGTGCCATCTACATCTCGCGCATTGTCCCCTACAGAATTGGCAGCACAAACTCGCGAGAAGATCGAGTCAGACCTGCGGACCTGGCAGGAAAAGTTTTCTGTGGCTGCTGATAAAGGTATCGAAGATCTTGAAGAGCGCCTATACGAACTTGTTGGAGGTTACGTAAATGGCGGGGCGAAGTATCATGGGGAGAGTCTTGTAACTGCTCTGGAAACTGCTGTGGAACACGAACTCTCGGCTATCAAGCTTCGTGTAGGCGAGTTGACTGAGGCTTTGCCTAGTGAATATTCATCCGCGGAGCAAACGGCGCAAAGTGAACTTCTTAAGGGCATCAGACAAGCCGCAGTCGTCATTAGGGATCGCGCCCATGCTATCCGAGAATGGCACAGTTCATTTGATCAGGAGCTAGTGCACCGTGTCTCTGCAACAGTAAATTCTACCCTAGATGTGCTTGACAGTGTGCGTGACCTGGGGCTCCAGGAAATAGGGATGCGCTGGGCTTGGATGGATGGTGTTACCTACAAAGACTGGGCAAGGTATCATGCACTGAAAGCACAGTTTGAAGATTGGAAGGATAAATTCCGGGAGGTCGGCATGCGTCATCCAAAATTGGAAGATGCCAGGGCACTCTCAGATGATATCTTATCTCGTGGAATGGATGCCGCCGAAGCTGCTGCGAAAGAACTTGCCAGGCTGAAAGATGTCGGTAGATGGAAGATTGCGGCCCGGGAAGTAAGTGACAACTTCGATACTAGGTCCGGCTCTCCGCCTCCACGGCCAATGCCCAGTGAACCTGCTTCCGAAGAGCATACCCTAGATGCAAACTCTGCAAATCACGAAGCTTCAATGCACCATGACTCAGGTAACGCTAGCTCAGCGGCACAGGGTACTGCGGAGTCCGAAGACCAAGTGCTGGGTCTTGATGATGCGCCTATAGCACATGAACAGACCACTTCGGAGGGTGGGGAATCTTCGAGCGAAAAACTAGAGCCGTATGAAGATCGTGCGGAATCCGATGGTCATATAGAGACCGGTCCACTCACAGCGCCGCAAACTCATCGGGAGGAAGACACCACGAGATCAACTTGGGGTGTGGCTGCGGCTGAATCTATACAAGGCGTACAAGAATTTGAGGACGCGGCTGAGAATATTTACAGTGCTTTAAATAGTGCTCGTGAAAACTATGCGGAAGTTGAAAGGTCAGCTGGAGAGGGATCATCTCAGTCGTTTGAGCAGGCGGCTCACGAACAACTTGATGACACCCAAAACCTTCATAAGCCGCAAGTGCCAAGCTCCTCGATCGTTCATTATGAAGCTATTGAAAACCTTGTGTCTGAGCTACTCGCCGGGAAAGATCCTTCTTTCGCCCAGGACGTGATGGACAAACTACACGCTATTTATGGAAACTCACACCCCGCATTCGAATCACAAAGAGATATTGTAGCAAACGATAAGACCGCTTCCATTCCATCCTCATCGGCTACAAGCATGCCCGTTGGTGAAGACTCCGTGGAGAATAGCTATGAACAACCTGACGATACCATTTCTGTTGCGGAGTCTACGATTGGCAGTGCTGCTTACACCCCAAGTGAGCCTCCTTCTCCATTGGAAAGTACACAGGAACAGCATGTATGGATTGCTACCGACGAAAACGACTTGATTCTGGACGCCACCGAGACTACTGCATATCGTATGCAGAGCTCGGACGACAACCTTGAAGCGGCGCCTGTTAAAGATGATCTATGATCCCAGAAGATAGGCAAAGTTTGCTTGCTGCGAACCCAAGTCCCATGTGGATTGGAGAAATATATGGCTCGGTCCAAAGCGATACACTCATGAATGGTATCCTTCATTTTTGTTCCTTCTAGCTTTGATATCCTATCAGATTGATCATGACCTTTCTTATTCCCCACATAGTTTTCTGCGAGTATGTTTTGGTACATTATATTGCTGATTTCTTGTGTTTGCGTGTACTCCTAAAGCCTAATGATTGTTGTATACACTAGCGCACCAGTGGTTTTGTAGGTCTATGTACGTGCACGTCATTACCGTACATTCATGGAAAACGTAATTCAGCACATTCTTCGTCATTCTATGTCTGTCCAACATTTGAAGATATTGTACCTTATTCTCTCATAGCGACGAGATAGTCCATAATGTACATGTAATAGTCAACTCCAACAGCTCATCGATACTGTACTCGCTGGCCTCCCCTTTTCTCCATTTTCTTCTGCCTCTTACTCTCCGCAACAGCTGGCTCTGTTCCGCCCATTCCGGCAAGCCCGCTCTTCATTCCCGTGAAAGTGGTATATGCCAACCAGACGGAATACAAGGGCACCACAATCCATAGCCACCAGGCGCGATCGCCAAAAACACAGACCGCACCAATACAGCCCCACGTCCAATACAAGACATCCCACATGTATTCTGTTAAACCGGCCGCCCCAAGGTCCTCTCCAGGGGAGCGAAGTGAGCCATCGGCGGGATTATAGCGTGGACGGCCCAAGCGATCGAGATAGAATTCGATAGCTAGAGTCGGACACGCAAAGACAACATAAGGCGTTAAAGAGCGTGGGCGGTTAAATATCCAGTGGAGAAGGAGGAAGGTCGCATGAAGACAGAGAGTAGTTATATGGGTACGGAGTAAGAGGGAGGCATTTCGAGTCGCGAGAGTTTTTGCCGCTTTCTTGAGAGAGGGTCAGCTCTTAAGTTATCATTGATATATGAAGTCACCAAGGAGTGGTAGAATCGGGGGAGACAAACTTGTGCCATGTTGATCAGTCGTCCAAGATTGGTAGTAGTGGAGTAGTACTTTTGGTCGTGTCGTTTGATGTGTCCAGGTTGGATGTAGATAGTTGAAGATCATATGAGTCGATAGCTCCTTGCAGATATTAGGTTATATATACAGAAGCTGAGCCATACTACCTAATTGTGACAGAGCAAGATCGAAGCTCAGCGTGGTATTGAGTTCGCTGGTGGAACTTTTGGATTGACAGACGATTAGGGAATGGCGTTGCCCACCACAACCAGACAAGCGCCCGCGCCTCCACCAGCCACTAAGAGTGGTGCATTGAACTACCGCCCCAAAACATCTGATGGCCGAAAAAGACATCGTGACGACAATCAAGATCGCCTCTGCCACATCCCACTACATCTCTCTTGGTGAGACTTTGCTGTCCCCGCGCAGCTCTCCTCTCTCAACCGTTCACCCATCATTCGCGACATGCAACTTACTCTCCTCTGAGTCTCAACCTGGCCCAAAGGGGCGTCACGAGTTGGCCGGACGTCATTCACTCTCCGAGACACGACCCTGTATAATATCGCGGGTAAATTAACTGAGGGATTCTGTGAAGGAAGTAATAGGGGAACGTCTGTCAGGGCGATCGTATCACTCATTTCCCTCTGTCGGCGGTCCTCTGGCTATTAACACAACTTTGCATCCGCGCATCACAAAGAATCTCGCGGTTCATTCGTCACCGGAATTTCTATCAAAGAGCGCTAGCTCTCACTTACTACCTACCAAATGCTTGCTCTTCTTGAGCGAACATCTTAATTGTTTCCTACCGGTCTACTCAATCCTCCACCGTGGTCACCACCGACACCACGCCTTGATCTTAACTCGCCAAATTTCCCCGGGCCTTCAAGCCTAACTATTCACACCCCAACATGTCGCCGTCGACATCCCATATATCGGGCCAGTTGAGGCAGCTAATATACTATCATCTCGATAATAATCTGATTCGAAATGCGCTATTTCTTGCTGGTCGTCTGCATGCCTATGAACCTCGAACATCGGAAGCTTCCTACCTACTCTCCTTATGTCATCTACTCAACGGGCAAATCAAGGCAGCTTATGATTACAGCAAGAACTTTGGGTCGAGAGGTACTCATTTGGGCTGCTCTTATGTATATGCGCAGGCGTGTCTTGACTTGGGAAAATATCTTGATGGCATTGCGGCGCTGGAACGGAGCAAAAGCCTTTGGACTTCTAAAAACCATTGGAGTAAGCATGCCATCCTTCGCTTCTCACTATATTCGTAGTCTGAATAATATCGTCAATGTGGCTGAGGCTGATAATTTCCCGCCGATTGTATAGACAAACACAGCGAAACACGCAGGCAGCACCTACCCGACGCGGCTGCAGTTTTGTGCTTGCAGGGCAAACTATGGCACGCGCATAAAGATCTCAACAAGGGAGTGGAATGCTACGTCGAAGCCTTGAAACTGAATCCTTTTATGTGGGATGCCTTTCTAGGTTTGTGCGAGACAGGTAAGTTTGGATGCGGTCCTTATCGTTGCACTGAAAAACTGATCGCCCTATGAAGGTGTCAATATTCGAGTCCCTAATATTTACAAAATGAGCTCCGAGCTACTTTCTGTTCTATCGTCATCACAGGAAGATATCGATCTTCCCCCTGACAAAGTTACACCTGCAGGTGGACCGTTGCAAACTTCAGCAAATGTGAATCCAAGCTGGGATCCCTTTATGTCTGCCGCGTCCCGCAGTGATTCAGGTACTACACATGGAAGCTCTGCCTTATGGGAGAAATTAAACGGAAGCACTGTCAGCGTGGCATCGAATGGAACATCAACACCAGTTGTGCGGGAAGGAACAGAGACCCCTGGGGGCCAGAGCAGTGAGTCTGATGAATTTCGCGTGGCTAACGGTGTTGGGGATACATCGTGGGAGCCTCCCTTAGCTCCAGCTAGAAAAAATCGCACGATTCAATCGATCGGGGCAGATCATGCAATGGATCCTCCACCGAAAATGAAGCCGACGGGTATTAGACAAAGGACAAGAATGAGAGTTGAACAAGAAGAACAAACGACAACCCAATTGGAAAAGGAATCTGTGACAGGATCTAGAGTTGGCGACCGCAAGCGAACGGTTTCCGGCCAGGTAGCTCATCCACAAGCACCAACAGAGCCAGGGGCTCCTCAACGCCGCAGCGTACGTCTATTCAACCAGATCAAGCCCACAACTAGCAAGCTCTCAACCACGGCGCTAGGCGCAAAGGACGGCAGGGAACTCAAAAAGGTTAAAGCTACCGGTGCCAAGGGGCGTACTACGGCAGCCACGAGTGTAGGTCGTGTTGTGAGCGGTAATAGGAAGCATGTCGGCGAGATACACGAGAGCGATGGGAAAGAGCATCGTCCGGTATCGACTATTCATAATGCAGCTACCAATATTGCCTCTAAGACCGCGACGATTGAAAAGTCGAAGTCCATTGAAGCCCTGACATGGCTATTGGAACTTTTCTCCAAACTGGCTTCAGGATACTTTGCTTTGAGTCGGTATCGGTGTACTGATTCTATACAAATATTCAATGCGCTTTCTCAAGGCCAGCGAGAAACGCCTTGGGTTCTTTCGCAAATCGGGCGAGCTTACTATGAGCAAGCAATGTATTCAGACGCAGAGAAGTATTTCGTACGGGTGAGAAACATAGCACCGTCCAGGCTGGATGATATGGAGATTTACTCGACTGTTCTCTGGCATCTGAAAAACGACATCGAACTAGCCTATTTGGCGCATGAGCTGATGGAGGTCGATCGTTTATCCCCCCAAGCATGGTGCGCCATTGGCAATTCGTTCTCGCATCAACGCGATCATGACCAGGCTCTAAAGTGTTTCAAACGAGCGACACAATTAGATGCTCATTTTGCCTATGGCTTTACCTTGCAGGGACACGAATATGTAGCAAACGAAGAATACGACAAAGCACTGGATGCCTACCGGCATGGCATCAGTGCCGATAGCCGCCACTACAATGCATGGTACGGATTGGGCACCGTATACGACAAAATGGGCAAACTCGACTTCGCTGAACAACATTTCCGTAATGCAGCAAGTATTAACCCTACAAATGCGGTGCTAATCTGTTGTATTGGTCTGGTCCTGGAAAAGATGAACAATCCAAAGGCAGCTCTCATTCAATATGGGCGAGCCTGTTCATTGGCACCACATTCCGTGCTTGCTAGGTTCCGCAAGGCTCGTGCATTGATGAAGCTGCAAGAGCTCAAATTAGCTCTAGCAGAATTGAAGATTCTTAAAGATATGGCTCCAGACGAAGCAAATGTGCATTATCTCTTGGGTAAACTTTACAAAATGCTGCATGATAAGGCCAACGCTATCAAACACTTCACCACGGCGTTGAATTTGGATCCCAAGGTAAGGGCCATGCCAACATTTACCACGGGAATAGGCTCACTAACTCTTTCTACCTTTAGGCGGCACAGTACATAAAGGACGCTATGGAATCATTAGATGACGAAGAGGAGGACGATGAAGATATGGCTTGATTTCTACGGCTTTCCTTTCCCCCCTGTCCCAAGCTTTCCTAAACATCCACACATGACACTTTCTTGACCTTCGGTCTTATCTGCTTCGGTTTCCTCAACATTTGGCCTTGAACCACGTTCCTGCTTGGGGTTCTAATTCATGACGGTTGGCGTTTTTCCCTATTTTTCTCCTTTCTGGGTCAAATCTGCGTGAGCATCAGCATTACACGGGCGTTAACAGGCCGGTTGGGTAGAGAGTGCGTTTCCCAGCATCAACGGAAAGGTGTCGAGGCTCTTTGGTTCTGTACATTAGCGTGGGTTGGCTTTCTCGCGTTTTAGCTGCGAATGAGACATGAAGACACCAGGCGACAGATTCGTGGACATATACAGTCTGTCGTGCGAGGCATTTCCATACTCAATTCATCTTTATACATATTCTTACATTTGAAGGAACTCAGCCGAGGTAAAAACCAGTAAGACGCTCATCAAACATTACATGCATTGTCACCTGCCCATCAGGGAAGGAAAGGCGGTGAGCGGTCCAACAAAATTCGCCAGAGAAAGGCGGAAGTGGAAAGACGACTTGTTTGGTAGTTCTGTTTCACAGCATACGTCTTCCTATTGGGATCCTTGATATTCCTAATGTCGTTCTTCTAAGTATTGTTGGGAGTCCCCGCTTTCTATTAATATTTATATCGGCCATTGCCATGCCCCAACCGCTCTTGTGATTCTCCTGTGCATCCCTGCTGTTCCCGAGACTTTCTCGCCTGACCTCATCACCGCTGGAAAGTACCAAGTAAGGATGTTCCTCTCTTAATTGGACAGCCTATATAGGTCTGACGCTCAGCTTGGGAATTAGGGTCGTTCTTATAGACAATACTTTGTTCTTCTCACCATGTCGTTTCTGTCCTACGTTGCCTCGGGCATCAGCTCGTTCGTCGTCGTGACACTTTCACTTTTCACCCTTGGCCAGAAGATTCCCGGCGCAGCGTTCGTTGCTCGCTGCTTGGCCTCCTACGGTTCTCTTCTCCTATGTGCCACTTACGGTGTAATCGCTTCGATTTTCTTGCGTCTGGTCGGCTACGGACGGGTGTCGCAATGGGCCACCGCGCGCAGCTTCAAGTGGGTCATGCGGTATACAACCGGTGTACACTTTGACATTGTTGAAGGCCAGGAGCATCTCTCCACCCGACCAGCGGTCTTTATCGGAAACCATCAATCGGAGCTAGATGTCCTCATGTTGGGTTCGATCTTCCCCCCGTACTGCAGTGTTACGGCCAAAAAATCGCTGCGCCATGTGCCCGTCCTCGGTTGGTTCATGTCTCTTTCTCGCACCGTTTTCATCGACAGGGCCAATCGCCAAACAGCCGTAAAGGCGTTTGACAGCGCTGCAGAGGAGATGCGCCACCACCGTCAGAGTGTCTTCATCTTCCCCGAGGGCACAAGAAGCTACTCGGACAAGCCGGGGCTGTTGCCGTTCAAGAAGGGTGCTTTCCATCTCGCTGTGAAAGCCGGTGTGCCTATTGTTCCTGTTGTTTCTGAGAATTACTCTCATGTTCTGTCTCCCCGGCACTGGAGGTTCAATGCTGGCTCAATCCAGGTCAAAGGTACGCTTTTCCTTTGCTCATCTCCTTTGAGCAAATACATACATGAACGAAACTGACGCATCCTAGTTCTCCCTCCCATCAGTACTGAGGGTTTGACTGCGGCTGATGTCGATGCTCTGACTCAGTCAGCTCGGGAATCCATGCTCAAGACTCTGCTCGAGATGTCCGAGAAGAACGAAACCGAGGTTGACAACTCGCTTGCCAATGGTACCTCTACTGCCGTTGAGATCTGACCTCGTTGCAAGTTCGAGTTATGACAATGACCCTTTTCTGCCTTGGCATCCCCTTCACCGAACGTCAGATGCCCGCACCCTTCATTGCACGAACAACTTGAAACGCGACATGAGACATGAATACCGGGCGTTACTGTCCCTCGTACCACCCGCTAATAATCATTGTCTTCTATTCTCCACCACAAAGTCCGCGACAGGGCACTTCGATAAATTCTGTCAAGGGACAAGGGCCTAGGATTTGCATTACTTGTAGACATGAGAGACAACGTGAGACAGAGCGGTCCGCCCTGATGAAACGTCCATTATAATTGGTTCCTATCCCTCATGGATAGGACCTTTCCCCCCCAAGGTGTATATAATGCCCTCCGTTCAGGAGCACCGGGGTCCCTCCCGCTGTATATCCTGGACCAATTCTGTATGTAGGCTACCAGATCAATAGAACATATCCACTTGCTGTTCAAACCTTACGTGGATGTTTATATAAACGTAGAATTTTGGCATGATGTCGGAGGGGGCGAAGCAAAACCTATTTCAAGCATTGGCAAACACCTGTCGCGCAAAGTCTAACATCTTTCTCAATGTCAATCTTCTGCAGCCGCTGCCATGGATCTGCACCATCTCCTCCACTTCCCCGCCCAATCCCACCCCCTCTTGCCGCAGTAGCAATAAGATAATTCTTCTCAAATGCAACGACCTCAACTCTCACATCTTCCACCTCCTTTCCATACAGCCATGTTTTAACCCCAGTATACGGCTCACCTAAGGTTCTTAGGTCCCGGCCTGCAGGCTCCGGCGCAAGAACGTTCGTGAAAACCAATTCTCTCAACCACGGTGCCAATAATGCTTCCCCTGTCATCTTTATATATGCTTCTTTCAACGCCCAGTAGGTGTAGAACAACCGGAACCCATGTTCCACAAGGGCGTCCTCGTTGCCGATATGTGAAGGTACCCCGTGCAAGCTTTTAATGGTATCCAGCTCGCGCTGGGAGAAGACTTCAGAGAAGATACTGACGAAGTCTTCTAACGCTTGTCTAGTTTCCGTGGTGTTGCGGCGCTCGTCCACGCAGGTAATGTCTATCCCTACCTGGGGTATGGATGAGAGGGGCGTGGAGGCGGGATTGGGGTTTGTAATAACATTGGTAGGCGCAATTGAGTTATTATTGCTTGATGGCGGCAAAATAGTCCCTGCGAGAGCGACCAGGGATGCTTGATGGCTGACGTTGAATTCGATGCTTGGGATTGGCTTGGCTGTAGCTGCAGTTTGAATGAAGTCTGCAGAGTTGAAGTAAGGCCGATGATGCGGTGCTGGCGTTCGGCTGATGGTAATTTGGCTCCATGGGATGCGACATGTTCGGTGGATAAAAAGATATTTCAGCAGATTGGACGCAAGGGACATATGCTTGTCTTTCAGGTGATAGAAGCGTTTGGCCGACTCCTGGTCTGATGGCTGGAGTGTTTCCAGTAGAGGGAGGGATGAGGTGGTCGCTGTTAGGTCCCGAGTATCGATATACCACCGTACCATGCAATTGTTGGACTCATCCTGCGATGATTGCATGTTTAAGACTCAGGGGATTGGGTACAATGAAGCAGGGTGGTGAGACGTATGTAGAGCAGCTTTGTTGCTAACTTGATTTCAGTGCGGGGAATGTTTATTTGTGAAGCATACACAGTATAGAGTAGAGCAAATACTAGAATAGCTCAACCACCATCATATCTCTATGGTTATAAACGAATAACTGAATTGTCCTCTCGCTCCACAGAACACGGAACTAGAAACCAATTCATAAAGTCTCCGTACAGAATAAGCTGAGGTGACGTTTTCCAAACTGATCACCGTGCAGGAACGTCTTATCATGCGGGGCAGCACGTGGAGATAGCTCGGATATACATTGTTCCGGCCATTTATACAGGCCGTGACTAGCCAACACTTGACTCATTTTCTATGAATTATACCACATTGAAATGAGCATCACCGTTGGGGTTCTCGCCTTACAGGGCGCATTCTACGAGCATGTCCAGCTGCTGAAACAGGCAGCAGCCAATTTAGCGACCGAGACCAACACCTCACCGCAATGGGAGTTCATTGAAGTGCGAACCTCGCAGGAATTGGATAGATGCGATGCGCTTATCTTGCCTGGTGGTGAGAGCACTACTATCTCTCTTGTCGCAGCTAGGTCCAATCTTCTAGAGCCCTTGAGAGATTTCGTAAAGTATGTGCCCCAGAAAGCCTGCTCTGCTTCCCAAGACTAACCATTTCTTCTCGATAGGGTCCATCGCAAGCCAACTTGGGGAACCTGTGCCGGGTTGATTTTGCTTGCTGAGTCCGCCAACCGGACAAAGAAGGGTGGTCAAGAGCTTATCGGAGGTTTAGATGTGCGCGTAAATAGAAACCACTTTGGTCGGCAAACTGAGAGTTTCCAAGCGCCATTGGACCTGCCATTCCTGAATTCCTGCGGGCAAGACCAGCCTTCTTTCCCAGCTGTTTTCATCAGAGCACCTGTTGTCGAGAAGATATTGCCACACGAAGAGGGCATCCAAATAAGCGAGGTTCAAAGAGACGAGACTGTCGTAGCGCCTTCAAAACACGCGAAAGGCCGGGCGGCTTTGGACGCAATGGCAACGCAGGTTGAAGTGCTGGCCACACTTCCAGGCAGAGCCGCTAAACTGGCTAGTGAGGGGAGGAAGATCGACGCAGACAAAGAAGCTGGAGATATCATTGCTGTCAAACAGGGAAATGTTTTCGGGACAAGCTTCCATCCTGAGCTCACCGGCGACGCCCGCATACATTCATGGTGGCTGCGCCAAGTGGAGCAGTCCGTGAAAAAGAGGAAGGGGACAGAGCAACGCTAATGAATGCTTTGCATTATAAAAAGATTTTGTATAGAAAGGTTCGTCGATAGATGGGGTATCGGATGTAAATATTCTTTTGTTGGTGCCGTTCCTTCTACTAAATCAAAGAGATATAATGCATGCAAACGCCGTACATGCGCCAACCAGACAAAACTCATCAAGATTACCTGCCCTTACCGTATTCTTCTTCTTCCCGTTGTCTCTGATCATCTGCATAAGCCCGGCCATAACCGCCACGTCCTGGATCGTACTCTTCTCGGTATTCATCGCGAACCTGTCCACCAGATTTACCGCGACTGCAAGGACATCAGAAACGGTTTTGTCTTTTGGAATTGAGCGCCTCTCTACATACCCGTATTGTCTCCCTTCTTCGAAACCAGGGTCAAGATCCGTCCGGATAATCCTCTCATCGAGCTTAGTGCCGCCAACGTATTTCAAGCAATCCAACGCATCCTGATGTGTGTAATACTCGACGAAGCAGAAGCCACAGGGCGTCTTCGTATATCGGTCGAGCCCCATCACAAGTCGTTTAACCTCTCCACATCTGAGTCTATCAGTTAATAGACGGACTTCAGCACGGTTGTTGGGTGGTATCTGACTTTGAGAAGAGCTCATGGATCTGTTCCTCCGTGGTGTAGAAAGAACTACCGTAGTTAGTATATGGAGAGAGGCCAATGCTGAAGCGTCTGCGAGGCAAGGGACATACAGATTACCAACATAAAGAGTGGTAGCATTTTTTAAGTTGTCCGATGGTTCTTCTGCGACCTTCTCCGGTTCATCTTGGCTGTACTTGCGCTTCTTGTTCTGGATACATACGAGACACGTTAGTGATTTTCGCGAGCCGGTCAGTTGTCATTGAAGGGCTCTATAAAGCTATACCTTTCCCAGGTAGTAGGCGCTTGGCCGATCCAGTCTATCCACGGTGTTGCGTGGTGATACGGCCATTGTCGAGGAAAAAACGATAAGAATTTGATGATAATTGCGTAAGAATCACGATTAGGTTAAGCAAAGAAGAGGAAGAACTGAAGACAATGAAGGGGCAAGTTGAGCGCAGGAGGTTGTTAGAGATGCAGTCCAGGAAAGCTCACCATTGGAGCTTGTTCACGGAAACTTACGCTGTTCTTGGCGCGCCCGTCGTCTAGTGTGCTTCCGCCAAAATTTCCCCGGACACTGTTTTGTTACTGGCGCATTCTCCCGCCTTTTATACCAGCACTGACATTCCTACGTTTCATAAGCTTGTCGCCGGCAGGGGATGGAAGTATAGCATTGCATTCAACTTCTGTCTGGAATAAGTGCTTCAACAATGCCGAAAGTGATCAGTTACACACCTCCGTGGCTCTCACGCCCTTCTCCCGGAGCCTCCTTGTTTTCAAGCACAGCTCCGAAAGCTCCAGAGAATATATCAGGCAAGCTTCAGCAAGAAAGTGACTATGCTGGACCAACTCGCATATTGGCAAGGAGAGGAAACGAAGCGTTTACAGTGGTTGACAACCAGATCCGTTGGTCGAGCCTAACGCGACTGAAGAACGAATGGCAGCAGCAGACAAGATCAAGGAAAGGCACTCCTGATCAGAAAGAAGACACAGAAGGAAGGTCGGATGCTAGCGACAGTGTGCACTACAGAGTATGAGAAAATATGTTGCAGAATCAGCTACTATTATAATATAAAACTGACAACCACCAGGTCTTGACAGTTCCGGTTTACGAACAAATCCGCCAACTCATACCTTCCCCCAATGGCGCTTTTCTGGCTATTGTTGCAGATCATACGGTTCATATTGCCGTACTTCCGGATCCGTCTCATTTGTCTGGGACTGACAGCTCACCGATTCGTGTGAAGACCTACCAGCTTGGGCCTACAACGCACGTGATACCAGAGTCGCCTGTAGTAGCAGCTTTATGGCATCCGCTTGGGGCTCACAGCAACCTTGGAGGCTGTATCGTTACCGTCACGGTAGATGCCGCTGTACGCGTCTGGGAACTGGACCGAAATAATCAATGGTCTTTCGACCGTCCTACATTGGCGATCGACTTGAGAAAGCTGGTGGATGGCACCTCTTCTGACGAGGACTTTTCGCCTTCCGGCTTTGGAAAGAACAAAGGGTTCTCTGCTGATTATGTTGATATGGAAGTCGCATCCGCTTGCTTTGGAGGCACGGGGAGTGAAACGGAGGACGCCTGGGCACCGACGACCTTGTGGGTTGCGATGAAACCGGGCGACCTTTACGCCCTTTGCCCGCTCCTGCCCTCCAAATGGAGAGCCCCAGCTACTACCGTTCCTTCGCTCTCCGCAGCTATAATTCCAAAATTGGCAGCCCTTGAGGAGGATCCTGCTGATTTTGTGGATGAGCTGACTGCCTGCCGGCAACAGTACGAGTGGTTGACAGAAATTGATAACCAAGACCCCTTGCATGTTTACGAATCAAATACGGGCCCAGATTCGGAAATCCTTACTCGCCCTGCCAATCCCAGTGCAATCCCTAGACTGCAAGGACCTTTCCGTATAGATACAGGAGATGAGGTCGATGACTTGGACCTCTGCGATCTTCATGTTATCGCTGCCAAAGTTGACGTCGATGCCCTCATGATGGGCGAGGATGAGCTTTTGCTCGAGGATAACGGAGAGGACAAGCTGTCGGCCACGGTTATCTGTCTTTCTACAGGAAGTGGAAGAGTTCACATTTGCCTTGAACTTGATGGAGTAGAGGGACAGTGGCTTCCTAGGGCGAGAAAGAATGCCTTTAGGACCCCACTCTCGGAGCCGTCTGATCTAGTCTTGGTGGAATCGCTGGACACCATGAGGGAAGGACAACAATCGTTGAAGAACTGGCCTACATTTACGAAAGACGTGCATTCGAGATATGACTTCTTCGTGACTACCGAGAACAATGTGATGTTTATCTCCCTTTCTTCATGGGTGCAGAGACTTGAGGCGGAACTTCGATCCGAGGACACAAGTGGCTCGGGCTTCCGTTTGGAGGTTCTCTGTGAGGGCACTGTGTCTCTAAGAGAACGCATCTTCCAGACAGACGAGGCCCATAAAACTGCGAAAGATCAACCAGACCATCTCCCCGCCTCGGTGGTCTATTATGATTACGATCTTGGCTACTTATTGCTGACCTATCATGGTTCTCATCCATATGCTGCTATCATGGATACTCCTGAAGTTTCTTTCCCATCACTGACAGAACTGAATCCGGATGCCCGTGTTCCTGGTTCCCCCGTATTGCCACCACGCCGGCCGCCTTATCAGGTTCCCGCTATCTTTTACTCGGATTCTCCCCTGGAATTCTTCGTCGACAAACATATTCCACATCGCCAGCGACATACTCTCAAGGAACAAGTTCGCCTGTCCCCGGCGACGTTGGACCTGGTTGCCGCTGCACATAGGATTCTGTCTGCTCATACCAACGCCCTGGAGAGGGCAGCATCAGACCTGTTCCGTCGGTGTGAACGACTGCAGGGAGAAATGCAGGAGCAATTGAAGCAACTCACTGATGTGTCTGAGCGAATCAAGGGAGTGTCGAGCGAAATTGGTGAAGATGGGGAGCGGAAAGAAAACTCCAGGAGTGGCGAGGCATTGGATAAGAGACTCCAAGCGGCAAGGGATAAACAGGAGCAGCTTGTGCAGCGATATGAAGCAATTCGCAATAAGATTCTAAAGTCTGGTGGAAGACCACTTAGCGAGAAGGAGCAGTCCTGGGTATCAGAAGTGGAAACATTGTCAGAATTGTGTGGAGATTCGAGACAGGAAGGCCGGGATAATGGCCAGCAGCTGTCTGAGAGACTGGAAACTGTGAGTTTTTCTTGCCACCGAGAGTATTACACGATGACGCTGACAACCCTTGTAGGTGAAGGAGATTGCAGCCGACCTTCTGGCTGAGGCCAAGTCTGTAGCAGCGAAGGCTCCCCCAGTAACTGAACCGGGCAGCCCGGCATCACCTGGAGGTGCTCAACCTAGAGTTCCCCAGAGACTGCAGCGAGCCAAGATTGCAGATGCAATGAAAATGGTGGAACGAGAGTGAGTTTTCTTCCGGTCGGACGTTTTGCGTAGCTTGTACTGATGATTCTACCCATGCAGGTCTGCTGTTATTGAAGCGATTTCGTCACGCTTGGAACGATTGAACGCCAGTATATGAAAGAGTATGAATGTGTAGTACTTGAGGGTCTTTGGGGGATCAAGCAGTTAAGCAGTTCATAGTTGATAATACCTCCTGCAACTAAGTTGCAAGCATGATGTTTCTTTCTCTTGTCTGCAGGTCTAAACAGCTTGCATAGTATGTCTCTTCGGGAAGTAGTATCGTAAGACAGCACCCATATTCATTGTACATACCTATACTTCTCTTCTGCCCGACGAAAAAGAGGGTACGCAAAGCAACGAAGATCTTCTCACCAGACCCTGCATCTTTTTAGACCCCTCCGAAAGACAACTAGGGCACATACGCTAGACACCTCACACTCATGCTAGACAGATGATCTACTCCTACCCCTAGAGTATTCATTTGCTTCTTCAGTGTCTTTCGGATCTGCCAGTTACTAGTTACTGATCCTCATCTGAGCTTGCACACCGAGAAGGACGACAGGCGAGAACTACTAGTACAGTCTACAGATGATGGGACTGATGCAGTCCAAGTGGTGGCGTAGACAACTCCTAGGACTACTACTAGTAGTAGTCAGTGACTGAAAGGGTGGCGGAATGCACATACCATCAATGGACGGTCAATGGGTAGCACCATGGTGATGACAGATGGAATCCATGGCACCTACCTGGGTCCCGACTGTACGTAGCTGCCAAAAGTGAATACAACCAACTTTTGGTCTCTTCCTACTAGTAGCAACCCCACTTCATGTGAAATGTTCTCTCCAACTGAACGTCTCATTTCAGCATAGACTTAGGGGGTCGCCAATACGCTAACGTGGACCGAATCCTAAGCAACATGGTAGCCGTCCGCATCTACGGATTCCAGAAAGAAAACCTCGATATCCCCGCTCACCTCGAAACGATCATACCTGCAGAGCTCCGCAATGCATTCTACCGCGCGCGATTCATAGCTGGACGGGCCTTTCGATATTCAGAGTATATCGAAATCCGCCAGGCAAATCGCTATCAGGCGATGTGCCCTCGCACGAGCGTGAACTACTACAGCCATCAAATGTCTGTCTTACGTCTTTTCAGCTGGCGTCATGATTACCACTGGAGAAACCCGACTCTTGCTCCAACCGAGAAGCTCGACCCGACCATCCTTTGCTTTCACATAGACCAGTCTGCGTACCAGAGCTATCAAGCGGTCTTCGCCAAATACCAACAAGCGTTCCTGTCTGGTCCTTTCCTGGCATGGCAGAACGCCAAGCGCGCGGTGGAAGCAACAGCCGCTAAGTCTAAACTTAGCGAGGTGGAAAAAAGAATGTGGAATCAGTTCTGGCGTATCAACTTTCTGGGCGAGATGCAGAAGTGGGAGTCGCGCGCTACAGCCCTCGCTATCCCGTCTTGGGAGGCGATTGTCGATGAGTTCTACGATGCGATCTTGGAATGCGTTGAGGGAGCAGAGGATGTGCTGGCCAATACTGCTCATGGTATTGCTAGCAAAAGCGGTCTTGGATACGGTGCGCTTGAAGTTGACCCAATGTTGCACTGGGAAGCACCCCTTTTGTCAGGGTTCTAGAGGAGTTTTGTTGGGCTGGGTTGCACGTCACTTGGAAGATGCAGTATTGAGTATTGAGATTTTGGTCGGATGATAACCTGCGGTTAGCTCTTTGGGGGACAAGGCCGCCTTTAGGTATGCTCGTGGTTGTATCGCGAAAAATACTTGTGATCAGACTAGGTAGTCAACTCATTTCATTTATTATTTTGTTTTATTTTGTTGCTGCTATTCTTCCGAAAGGTTTGGGTTGGATGTTCTGAATGCGAGCAGAAAGCATAGTCTTTGATATTTTTGCTTTGAAAAAGCACATATTAGGATTTTGTCATATACTTTCTAGTAATATCTGTGTGAGCAAAAGTTATAATACAACATTAACTGAAGCCCGGATGTGACGTGTTAAATACCATTTATTGATATATCTTGAAGCTGTGTAGGCAAGCAACACAGCAAATTTGTTTTTTTTTTCCAGTACAACTCCACTTCGCCTACAATCTACATACTACTGTTAAACAAGATGAAATAGTCTGTGTTGTACTACAAACTTAATTTTAATTTTATTTGTTCAATTCCAATCCTTTGTCAATGCCGTATTTTGACGCCTCGCTTCTTTGGCAAAGATCAAAGCAGAAGGCCAAGCCCCCACTGGATCCCTTTTACCTTCGAAAGCGCTTCTTATCGAGATGATCACCATGTTTCTATTGTACTTTTCCTTTTTTTTTTCCTTTTCTTCTTTCTCTCTCTCTCTCTCCCTCTCTCTCCATATTCCTATTGCCTTGAAGACCAGCATGGCAACGCTAATATGTCGAAACTCGCTAAGTAACAACATCCTCGTGAGTAGGTGAACAAAATACGAACAGATTACTAGCGAGTGAGTTCAAAGACACGATAGGATCATATCCACAGAGATAGGTATATATGATACGCTAGCCTTTGTGGCCGTGTTTACTAGGGATGTACTATCTTATGGCACAGTATATAAATAGTAATTTTAATGTAGCACATGACTAGAACATGCCCTAGCTTGGCAACAGACTACTAGCAGTAAGCCATGCTCTCATGAATTGACCATATAGAAACGTCATTTACGGCTGCTAGGAAGGATTAATACTGGTGTTACCCGGTGAGATCCAACGGCCAAGACCAATTAATTCACTAAATCTGACTTTACTAGGGTTTATTTGCTGCCGGTGGCGGTCATGAAACCTTGCAGGACGGGAAGTGATTGACTGCCAGCATGTGGCCGTCGTAATAGTCGCTCTCCGGTATACAATATCATGAGCAGATGTGTCTTTCCCCGAAGTATATAGTCCCCGGCCAAAGGGGAAAGAGAAGTATATCACACAAGTATCGATCTTCTCTCTAGATGTATTTATGTTTATGTATCGAAATAGGAGATCACACAATTTATTGAATGCTTCATGTAACAGACCAAAACTGTTAGCAAGTTTATTCGAATGCATTAACAAGCGATGTATTCAGCTTACCGTTCAATGAGATGGACACCGGAAGCCGTGTCAACGATACCGCTGACCTCACCGGGCTGTAGAGCAAATGCAGCGTCCTCGAACTCCTTCTGCATTTCTCCACGTCCAAAAAAGCCACTATTATAACGTTAATTCCACATGGTAACAAGCCCACAGATGACAAAGCAGGTACATACAGATCACCCCTCTTCCTGGCGCTGCTACAGTCTGATTCTGACATCGCAAGATCTCCCAAGCTGACCTCGCCCGACTTGATGCGCTCTTCATGGCCACGAAGGATGTCAATCGCCTCCTCCTTGGACCGAGTAATCTCAGACTCTCTCCAGCTACTGGGTCGTCTGCTCTCCCTATGTTTGACCAGAAGGTGGCTGCAGCGGATTTTCCCTTCACCATGGCCTGTGCCATCAGGCCGACTGGTGGGCCCGCTATGGTAGTTGGCCATGTAAACCTTGAGCGTCTCCGTATCAGTGCCTGCTGGAGGCTCCCAGCGAGATTCTTTTGTTATGGGGTTGAAATAGTACGGAAGGTTCTTGGAGTTAGAATGGCGGACCTCCCATCCGGCCGGAAGACCTGTCTCAACCTAGAAAAAGCCGAGTTCAAATGAGTATAGAGCTTTAAACGTGATTGATAGTTCGGTAGATGCGAGATAAAGCGTACCATGATGATTTGGGATAAGAGTGGTATAGAATTACAAGCTTTATTAAAGGGGCTTTTTCAGGATATGCAGGATTGCAGGAAATACGAAAAATAAATGCAAGTAATAATTGCCGTGGCAGCAGCTCCTGCGGGACAGACTGCGGGGGAAATGAGGGACAAACACAAAGCATGCAAACAGCGCTAACAATACAAACATCCATCAATAAGGCAGTGTCCGTGCACTCCGATCGTGACTAGTGCAACTTCCCTGTAGGCCTTCTTCGGACTTCATCGCAGGTATTAATTATTCTTAGTATCAGGCACTATCTTCGCCACCAAAATTTCTGTATAGGACACGTGAACACCCTTCAAATTTGCAACTACTTTAAATCTATTTTCAAAACCTACCATCGAACTATTTGCTCGAGTTCTTGACGGATATTCAGCTTTCAGAAAAATGTCTGCCAGCCCATCTCCTTCCGCCGGTGGCGATAGCAAGACAAATGAACAGGTCCACTTTCGTTTTTGTCGCGAATGGTAGGCACTATGTTTCTTGACCTTCTTCTCTTGACGATTTTGCTAATTGCGCTGCTATAGCTCGAACTTGCTCTACCCGAAAGAAGACCGCGTCAACAACCGTTTGATGTTTACGTGTCGAACCTGCCATGTCGGCGAGCCCGCAAGCTCATACTGCGTCTATCAAAACAAGCTCAACAGTCAAGTCGGAGACACAGCTGGTGTGACTCAGGATGTGGGATCTGATCCTACGGTTTGTCTCCCAGGTTTCTGTGCTCATTGCGGGGAGGAGATCACTTGTTTTTCTTGCGGCCAGCCCTCTGAAGATGAGTTGTCCGAAGATGATTATGAGGGGTTCCCAATGCTTTGAGAAAGGGCTCGAATTTGTGTCATGGAGAGATGTCAAGTGATCTTGCAATTTCCCTGGCTAACATGCTCTCTCTCGTTCTAGCTTCCTCGGTCGAACAAGCTCTGCCCGAGCTGCGGTGAAGCCGAAGCGGTCTTTTTCCAGTCTCAGCAGCGTTCTGCAGAAACCGGAATGGTGAGAGATCTACCGACTGACATCTTCGACGAGTGACTGACATATACCTTTCAGAAACTTTACTATGTCTGTTGCGCGTGCGGCAACGTCTTCGTATGATTTGGAACGTCTTTTGTCACCATCGTGTTTTCGATACCCATTATTGGTCCCTTTCAGCATGGTTATGGAGTTACGGCGATGTCCGAGTAATAGAAAACAAGTTTTTTTTCAAGGGATAATTCTATTGATACAGAATAGTTATGTAAATAGACGCTTCGCTTTCATAGGGATATTATACATGCATCGGTGCCAACGACAAAATTTTCGACCATTGCTTTCCTCGTAGTTCCGTAGCCACAACTCCTGGGATTGAGGTCAGGACCTGGGAATAGAGGCGTCAGGATCAGGATACTCACCGTTCATTCTTGTTCCGATCGGGTCTCCAGACTTGTTCACCAACACGCAGGCATTGTCATCGAACTTGACAATAGATCCATCTGGTCTCTGCATTTCCTTCTTCGCTCGGACGACGACGGCATGTCGAATATCTCCACGACGGACTTTGTTTGCAATACCACTGTTCGTCGAGCTCTCGGGGCCAAAGTTCCGTTGTTTCTGAACGACCACGACGATTCGGTCACCTAATCCCCATCACATCAATCGTCAGAACTGTATCGGTAGGGAAAAATTGAGGGAGATCTAGAACCTACCGACTGTGGCTGGCCGCTTCTTCTTCAGGACATTCACGCACTCGACAACTGCGGCGCCGGAGTTGTCGATGCAATTCAGCATCGTCTGGCGGGTGATTATTAGCCAAGAAGGCTCAAATTATCGGACGAGGACAAAATCGCAGGGTTACCTTTAGTTGAATCATCTTGATCGCATGCCCTGAGGGGAACGGCCAAAGTATCAGATAAAGGGCAGACTTATCCGTCCGAAAGATTTCCAGCACGTCCGGACCGGAAAGGTTTTGCCGACCACCGACCCCGGACGGCGGACGGGGCGCTGCTGCTGCTGCAGGAGGGCAGCGTTCAACTCATTTCAAGTCGCATTGATTTAATTAACTGGGCAACACAGCCGTGTGTGTCGTGCTTGGAGCCTCTTGGATAGTCGCCCACTTTCCCATTCGTGCGCGCTAACTTCCCCTGGGGGGCCCTTTTCTTCTTTTCCATTATGCCTGTTGAATTGGATTTTTCTTATCCTTTCTAAAAGTTGTTTCACCATCACGCTCTTTTCGAAAGTCCTCCCCCCCTTTGGTGTTAATAGTATTCCCGCTTTTTCCTACTGTTCCTCCTTCGCCATATAGACACAACATTTAACACCAACCAATTAAAACAAAATTTTCACCACACCACAAACATTCTTTACATGGGAAATTTGTGATCGTGCAGATTGACATGCCGTCGTCGAAAGCAAGAGACAGTCCCGCTGCGGAGCGTCGCGACCGTCTTACTCTTGCAAAGTTGGCTAGCTATGACGATGTCGCGACGGATGCGCTGGTTGACCGGGTACGCCATCTTACTCAGAAACACCCTTTTTGGATTGTATCTAACTTGGACCATATCGCAGGCATATTTCTGGACCAATACCCGCAAAAATAGAACGAAATATATTCCCGTGAGAGGGATTCACGAGGATGATGTCGCTCGTATTCTCCTTCACGATGTCATTGTGGCCAAGGACTCTGCGAAAGCAGAAAAGCAATTGCTGGCAATGTCAGGCATGAAGAAGTACTTGGCCAGGCTTCCCAATGACCGTGAAAAGGAATGGTTTCGCCGGCATCTGCGCAAGTACATCCAAATGTATCTCCCTGATTCGCCCTTCGAAGTTACTACGACCAATCGCTACACAATTACCGAACATGAGGCGGCCATCTGTGCCAGGAAATTCATCAAACAGGGCCAGGAGATCAAGTACCTTAGTGGGACGCTTGTTCCCATGACCCGCGAAGAAGAGCAAGAATTGGATCTGAAGAGGAAGGATTTCAGTATAGTCATGTCTAGTCGGAGAAAAACGCCATCGTTTTTTCTCGGACCCGCTCGCTTTGCCAACCATGACTGCAATGCCAATGGCCGATTGGTGACCCGGGGATCGGAGGGCATGCAAGTTGTCGCCACTCGAGACATCTACATTGGAGAAGAGATCACCGTTTCATACGGCGGCGATTACTTCGGTATCGACAATTGCGAGTGTCTTTGTCTTACATGCGAACGGGCAGTTCGTAATGGCTGGGCGTCTCGTGTTGACTCCGAGGAAGAGTCAAGCAAAGCATCCACTCCAGCTCTGAACGATGAAGCGATGTCCAACGACAGCCTCCTTTCACCCAGAAAGCGCAAGCGCCATTTGGATAGTGATTCCGATATCTCGCCCTCGAGCACGCCTAGGAAGAGGAATAAATTTACACGACAAAGCTCTAAATTACGATCAGCAGTATCGCTCGCAGATTTTGCTCCTTCTGTTGGTTCGGAGGTGGATAATCCATCGCCCCAAGCGGAGACTTCAATTGCGCCAGAAACCACAGCAGCCGCAAGTGTAACCAAGGATGTCATTGTACCTGCAAGCGGTTCTGCTGCGGAAGTCACTCATGTGCCTGCTACTGACTGTGACTCCTCTCCTTCGCTCGAGGCCGACGAGTCACAACAGTCGTCAACGTCAACCACACCAACCTCAATCGGTGATGTCAAGATCAAGGTGGAGGAAACGGTGGAGACGTCCCTCCCTGAATCAGCATCGACGACGGCGACCCATCTTACACTTTCAGTCACAGGCCAGTCCCACAGCGACCGACACCTCCCGGGAACTGACCACGACATGTTGTCAGAATTGTCCGATTTAATTGACACTCCCCAGAAGCCGAAGAGATCGAGGGGTTCTCGCTGGAAGCATAGCGTTGTCCCATCGGTGGAGGAAGAGTCGAGCCGTGTTCGGGTCCCCGGTGACTACACGAAAACTTCCAAGTTGCTCGCGCAAGCCTACGATCGATGGGTAGACTGCCATACTTGTAATGTTTGGTTTGTGCAGCAGAATTCATATCTCACTCGGCGAGAGTGTCCCCGCTGCGAGCGTCACTCAATGCTATACGGTTTCCGCTGGCCAAAGACGGATAAAGAGGGCCCAATGGATGAGGAGGAGCGAGTGATGGATCATCGGACTGTTCACAGGTTCTTGTACCCGGAGGAAGAAGCTCGCGTCTCTCGCAAAGATCGTGGGGTCAGTTTCGGCGTCACGCCCACCCCCGAATTAGTTGAGCCACGAACAGAGACCGAGGACAGTGAAGCATGCGATGACCGGCGCAACACTAGAGCGAGCAGGAGACGGACTCGTTCACTTCGGATGACCATGTAATGATGATGATGTGTAATCGATTAATAGGCAAGGGTTGGATGCTGAGCAGGAGTTTCGGGTAACTCTTTACATTGCAGTTGGCGTTTGATTTATACCTGGGCATGGTGCGATTGATAGGACTTGTTGGGACTGGTTAGATGATCCTTCTTTCTTTTCATTTCTTTTCCCCTTTGCCAGTTGCTTCTTCTGGTTATGATGTATAGACCTCCCTTATCTTCTTTCTTAAGTCTCTCCTTTATTAATTTTGTTATTTGTGCTGAACAAGATCACGACTTGGGTGGGGAGCGACCTCTTGCATATCATTAATCGGGACAAGTTCAAGTCCCTTGGGTGTACAACAGACATATTAGGATTCCACAAGAAAACATCGGGTTTACTGGATCAGAACAGACGGAGACTTGCTCATTCTCGGTGACTCTTCCCCGCATTTATTATGGAGATTTAATGGAAGCTGGAGACAATTCCTGCACCAATGGCGTTCCGCTGTGTCTCCGTTCTTCCAGCTTTAGTCCCTTCGTGTCTTGCCTGCGTGTGTGCAAATACGATTCTCGGTATATCTCCCACCGATGTTGCAAAAACACAAAGCCGTTTTCAAGGTGAGTATAAAAGAGCTCGCGAGCATGTCTATCATTTCCGCATGCGTTGGTCGTCTTGGTGAGAAGGCCTGTGTTAGTTATGGCGCTCCTCATCCCCCATCTGCTTGCCCTCTATCTCCTTCTAACGACCTCCGTTGCCAGAGCTTACGAAAATCCTCTCATCCGCCTCGATTATGGAGTATTCCAGGGCAGATATGACTCGACATATAACCTTTCGTACTTCCGTAAGATTCCATTTGCAGCCCCGCCAACAGGGGAGAATCGCTTTCGTGCCCCTCAGCCTCCCCTGAGGATACTCGGCGATGTGTATGATACCGATCAGGATTTTGACATGTGTCCGCAACGTACTGTTAACGGTTCTGAGGATTGCTTATACCTCGGCCTGTTCTCGCGACCTTGGGATGTCCGCTCCGTCTCCACAGCCTCGACCAAAAGGCCCGTTTTGGTGGTGTTTTACGGCGGTGGCTTCATTCAAGGGAGTGCCTCCTTTACCTTGCCACCATCGTCTTATCCCATCCTCAATGCTAGTAACCTGAATGACTATGTGGTCATTTATTCCAACTACCGTGTGAACGCGTTCGGCTTTCTCCCGGGACGAGCGGTCAAAGAATCACCCATTTCGGATCTAAACCCGGGGCTCCTTGATCAACAATCTGTTCTGAAGTGGGTTCAGAAATATATCCATCACTTCGGTGGTGATCCTCACAACGTCACCATCTGGGGGCAATCCGCTGGAGGAGGCTCAGTCGTCGCCCAGGTGCTAGCGAACGGCCGAGGCAAACAGCCAAAGCTCTTCTCAAAAGCGCTGGCGAGCTCACCATTCTGGCCCAAAACCTATGCCTACGATGCTCCCGAAGTAGAGGTGATCTACAAACAGTTGACCAATCTGACCGGTTGTGCGAACGCCACAGATACCCTCACTTGTCTCAAAGAAGTCGATGTCCAGACCATACGTGAGGTAAACCTAATCATCAGCGAAAGCCAGAAGTATACAACAAGCACCTTCACCTGGGGTCCAGTCATCGACGGCGAGTTCCTCTTCGACACGCTTACCGAAGCTGCGACGAGCGACTCGCTCCAAACAGACCTCGTCTTCGGGATGTACAACACCCACGAAGGCGAGAACTTCGTGCCGACTGGCTTGCGTTCGCAGAACACGACAGATGGGTTCAATTCTTCTATTCCTAGCTTCCACCAATGGCTGGTGGGGTTTCTGCCAGGACTGTCTCCCAAGCAGATACACCTTGTTGAGTCGAAGTACTACCCTCCTGTAGGGGGAACGGAGACTCTTGATCTGTACAATTCCACGTATGTGCGTGCAGGTCTCATCTACAGGGATGTTGTTCTCGCTTGTCCAGCGTATTGGATAGCATCGGCAGCCAAAACTGCGGGTTATGTGGGTGAATATACTATCCTGCCTGCACAGCACGCCAGTGATACCATCTATGTAGGTGTTTCTCAGTCTACAGTATCTGTATACTTTGACATATGGGTTGTTGCAGAGATCTTACTGACAGATATCTTAGTGGAATCAAGTCAATCCCATCCAACAGACGGATGAATTAATATACAAAGGCTACGCTGGTGCCTTCGCCAGTTTTTTTCAAACCGGGGATCCCAACGCGCATAAGTTGACGAATGCTTCGCAGCCCGGGGTGCCGCTGCTCCAGAGTACTGGCGATGAATTTGTTGTAACTGAGACTGGATTCGAGACTGCAGAGCTAGTACTGTTGAAGGAGAGGTGTAACTTCTGGAAGTCGATTGGAGGAAGGATTCCGGTATAGTATAGCTTCTATGAGTATATATATCAACTGTATATGGGGGTACAGCCTCAGTGGCTATAAATAGAAAAGAGCGTGAGTGAGTTTCGTGTCTATACTTTACTATCTAGTGTACAATATTATACATTTCATGTTTGAGCCGTGCTGTACAT